AGGCACATGCAAGGATGACCATGCAGCATTTTTACAAGTTTCCAGACCCAGCCATGTTTGCAATGCACAGGGGTTGCCTCGCGAAGTTTCTCGTCCCGACTTGCGCCGTCTTTGCTTGGCAAGGGTGCGACGAAGGTGGCCCGGTCTGCATGGCTATTCTTTGTGGTTGCTTCTACACCCTGCTCTGCTGGAAGCCTGCGCCGGAGCAAAAAATTTGGGAGGCCGACGCTACCAAGGCGAAAAAAGTCTTGTTATCCATAGAGTGAAATAAAACGTGTCGCCCGTCACGTCGACCCCAGAGTCAGTTCTTGTCACGCACATCTGCATTTTTATACTTAACCTATTGGCCCGTGGTGTTGGGGTGATGGTCCTGGTCGTGTCCAACACACACGATAATGCTGTTGATGCGGAGCCCTCTGGGAAGAGTTATTGTCTATTGCTGATGTTTTTGGAATTTCAATTTGCGATGCTCGAATCAGCATGAGATGCCAGATCTGTGATGCGGATTCTTCGCTAGCTATTAAGTACTTAAGAAGCACGATTTCTGTGGAGCTGCGAGCTCAAAGAATGAACTTGCCGTGCGCGGCGGTAACTACAGCTAATATGCTTGTTCATTTCTTTGATGTCTCGTCCTCGTGCCAGATCAACATGTTGACAACAACAACTCTGGGACCCCCGCGGCGTGGGCTTTGTTTTATTTGGCCTCAGGATATTGGTGCTGCGGATGCCACCCGCTGGATAAGTGCTGCAGGTTCTGGTTTCCGTTCACGGCTATCGCCTCCTGGCAAGGGTGTGACGTAATTCTCGACTTCATTCTCGCATTCGTCGTACCGTGCTACGCATGCTGCTGCTGGCAGCCGCGCCCCACGCAGAAGATTTGGGGGGCGGGGGCTGGAGCCCCGGTCGTCGGACAACCGCAGGTATACATATTTAAAACGTACGCACGCAAGTGTAATGCCAGTAATAAGCTTTTGCTTTACAAGAACTTGTACTTGAACTACACAAAGTCAAAGCAAGTGTCTACTTGCTCGCGTCGTCGACGTCGTGAAGAATGAAGTAAGAAGAAGAACGTACGAAAGATGAAGAATGAGTTCCGATTTGGCTATAGAAAAAAATTAAAATGCACATAATCTTGTTGTTGATGTTGTTTCAGGCGGCCGAAACTACTCCGCTGACTGCCGACCCGGAGTAATTGGAGGACGAGTACTTCTAACCCGGGCTCGCCGCGGAGGACTGAAGATTTGTTAGTAGTTGGAGCACAATACATTGAGTCGGACAGGCTGCGCGGAAATGTGTGAATTACATGCTTGTTTTGCGCCAGTTTCTGTTTTTTTCGACTGAAAATTAGCAACGTAGGCGTAAGTACGACGTCTGGAGTTTCATTTGATGTCGTGTATTTGAATTTGACCCTAAAGATGAAATTATACTTCACCCCCTTGATTAGCTTCAGCAAGACGAAACTCGATAATCGTTTGTGACTTGATATTCCATTTCCTAGTCCCAGAAAAAAACAAAAAGCGCGATGTTGTAACCCATCATCGAACTTTTGACGCCATGCCCAGGCACGGAAAGAAAGGAAGAACCTCCCATCATAAACAATTACAAGAAAAAAAATTCTATTTTCGTCACCAGTTCACGTTTTACTTTTATTCTGCTTGTGCGTGAAGTAGATCCGACCTGATAGCAGGTCCGGGCAGCTGCACGCACAACCCCCCTACTAGAGCAGATCGCGACACGATACTAGATTCTGAATAGATTTAGATACTACTTCGAGGGATCCCCGGGAATAAGTATATCTAAGACCTATCATAGATGACAAGATTCGAATCGTATTAGTAGTGTGAAGACGAAAGAATTTGCAACGCATTTGTTCTTCATCAGTCTGCCACTTCTTGTGCGTATCACAAACGACCTGCACGCGCAAAGTGAGTGAAAAGGCAAATACTTGTTCATAATCCTTGTCTTCGTGCACAAAAATGAAGGGAGCTCCCACCGCCTGCTCCACTGAAGCTTGTAGTTCGAAAGATTTGTAGAGCCCCGCATGGAGGTGGTCGTTATCCTTCGATTCTTTTGCGGCTATCAAAAAACCGAGCGAGGAGGAGAGAACAAAAGCAGGGTAGCCCGGTGCTCGTTTAATATCGTTCTCATGATCTTCATGAAGCTGCATTGAAATTAGAACTAGTTCGTCTCCACCTGCAATCTTTTTGAAAAAAGTTGCTCTACGACGAAACTTCCAAATATTTACTGGCCATAAATATTTTGCAGCTTTTAAGTAGGGGGAGTGGTAACACACTCTCGGTGTCGTGTTATGCCCATCGTTCGCAGCAATAGCATCGCGCTACGATTTCGGTTGTTGCTCGTGCGCTCTTCGGTGCTCACCTTGCAGCGAGGAAGCTTTAGCATTAGCCTCGTGATTCGAAAGACAAGAAGGAAAGAAGTAGAAGAAGAAGAGGAAGAGGAAGCTGTTTGTGACAACATGCTGCTATCTTTTCTTCAGGTGCTGTAAGTAAGGAAAAACAAAAGCAACACGCATCCCGAAAACCAGTCGGCTTTTGCTGTATACCATCGATGTTCGCGCGCTAAGAGGAGGAATGCTCAAAATTCGCCATGATTGCTGAAGTAAATCGATGGCTTCTATTCGATCGTCTGTTTTCAAAAATGTTAATCGTTACTTCAACAGGCAAATTATTGCACTTCAACATAGTTGCTTTTTACTAGCTGTGGTCGACAAGAAATATCGTCGGATCAATGCATCTAAGCTCTGTTGATCCAGTTCCAGCAGGAGATCACTTTGTTGATCTTCGTGTCGGTTTTACGTACTCAATGCATGTGCAACTGAGTCAAAGATTATCCAGCTGTATCTCTGTTCAATAGATAATTTTATGTCAACATCCCTTGACTTTTTTGAATATAAACTTCTGCTTGCTCCTTCAGCTTCGTCCACATGCCTCTCTTCGGTTCTTTCTTTCTGTGCTCTGCTTCCTCGAGAGATTTTTAGTCCATGTATCGACTTACGCATGCTCATCGCTCGTGATTCTCGTTTTGCATTTTCTCGCATTCTGTCCTCATGTCTTCCTCGGTTTTTCATTTCTATTTTCTAGTTTGTCATGCTATTTTCGATCCTCTCGCTCTCCTTATTTTTAGATCTCGCTACCTCGTGTGACTCGACGTGCTTGTATCGATCTATGCTTGTTTCTCGACTGTTCTTTGTTTCGATTTGCAGGTATTTTCAGCTCTATCTTCGCTCTCGATCTTGGCTATGCATTTTTCGATCTCGACCTCGATGGATCTCGTTCTCGATTTTCGCGCCCCGAGTGAGCTTCATCTTTCTTGCGTTCTTCCTTTTCCTCTTCTTCTATTCTCTTTCCTTGAAGCACGTTGTTTTCGTGGTTTTGTGGTCGGTGAGCCGGTACCCCTGTCCGCCATAAAAATCTATGACACGACAAACAAGCGAGCACTCCCGTACATTGTCTCTTTCCTCTGCTTCATAGGGCAGTGAGACTGTGTTCGGTGAGACGGCAGGGGCTGTAGTGCTTTCCCTCCTCCTTCGGTCCCGAGTGAGTTTCGGTGCGTAGTTTTGTGTTGCGAGTGAACCTGAGCTGTCCAAATTCCTGTTTCTGTTCTCATGCAAAATGTCATTTGCATGCTCGACAAAATTCAATTTTATGTGTCACAACGAATAAGTACCCGCCGGGCGGTGAACAAGCCGAAGGCACTCCCAGGGTAGAATAGTTGTTGTACGAAGAGCATGATAGATCACCCCCAGGAGGTATAATGAAGTTGTGATTTTCAGTTTGTTCTTCTTGCGCCTGTACATGTAGCTGAGCATGAACGTATTTGCATATGCATGATTCGAGGCCGTTCGTTGATGCCGTCAAGACTTTTTCTGAAAATTTCTATCCGAATCGTTCGTTGATTCGAGTCGGTCAACACACATGTCATCTTCGTTCACCTCGTGCTGATGAAATCGTTCACCCTTCCAGCACTGCATCTCTGTAGTTGTAAAAATCTCGGTAGTTGTATGGAAGCGTCAGGTTTGAAATCGTCAAAGTTGAAATAATCTGTAAGGCATAAAATGCATGACCCGAGGCGCGTGTGTTGCAGAGCAGGCAAGTGAGGCCGATTGTAAGCCTGTTTGGGGTTACAGCTCGAGGTGCTAAAGTAGCATGAGAAAATCGCTCTTCTTTGCCTAAATAGCATGACAGACTGGATCTAGGGACCGCCGAAATTTGTCATGCGCCACTTGGAAACTGGGTTCCAACTGGCATCCATTTTATGCATGACAAATTATTTGAACTTTGTCGATTTCAACTCTGACACATCCATAAGTTGTGAAAAAATTGATTTTAGTTATTTTGCGCTACAGCCCTCACGTTTTTGTTTCCTTTCAGTTTCATAAACGGCGTATAATTTATTTTCATCGTCCGCGACGCTCTCAGACGTTGGCTCCTGGTCCTCCTGCTGTCGTCATCTTCAGGCGATTTATTTTACTCGTACACACAGCAGAGGTTCAGGAGAAACTACAACTTCTAGTACCTCTTCACCTGCTCGGTTTTCGTCCTGCTTTATTCCGTGCAAAAGAATATTCAAGACTCGTCGTACTCCCCTCATCTCTGCGAACTTGTCGTTTTATTTCGTTTTTCTGCGAAAGCTCTCATGATAGACATAGTCAACAGCAAAATGATGCTCTTCTTCATCACAACTCAGACTCAGGATAATAAATTCGTTGAGCTCGTCCACCTCTACTACCTTGTAGACCTGTTGTGCCCCGCACTCTCCTCCACCTCTCTCAACAGACATCGGAACTCGAGAAGTAGTTTTTCGAACCATCATCTCTCGCAGAAAAGTAGAAAGAAAGCTCTTGCACGTGTAGCAAGACAAATAGTTCTGTGTTCCGTTTTCTGCATCACAAGTTCAACGCAGTTGTTTCTTGCGGTAGAGTTAGGCAAAAAAATACAAAATGCCGACCACCCCGAACGAGTCCGTTGACCCCCGGGGTTATCCACTGCACATATGTCTGGGTCTGGAAATAGGTTGAACCTGTATAATAATTGCGTGTCTCGCATTTATTTTCCTGCAAAATCTGCATTTTTGCAAAAAAAGCAGCACCAAAGGCGCCACGCTACTTCCGTCATGCTCTTGCAAAGTCGCAGTTTGCAACAATGCGTGCTGTTGTGTATGAGAAAGCGACTGAAAATGAATTTGTCATGCTTTCCTGCAGTTAAACTTAAAGGCACATGCAAGGATGACCATGCAGCATTTTTACAAGTTTCCAGACCCAGCCATGTTTGCAATGCACAGGGGTTGCCTCGCGAAGTTTCTCGTCCCGACTTGCGCCGTCTTTGCTTGGCAAGGGTGCGACGAAGGTGGCCCGGTCTGCATGGCTATCCTTTGTGGTTGCTTCTATACCCTGCTTTGCTGGAAGCCTGCGCCGGAGCAAAAAATTTGGGAGGCCGACGCTACCAAGGCGAAAAAAGTCTTGTTATCCATAGAGTGAAATAAAACGTGTCGCCCGCCACGTCGACCCCAGAGTCAGTTCTTGTCACGCACATCTGCATTATGCTTAACCTATTGGCCCGGGGTGTTCGGGCGATGGTGGTCCTCGTCGTGTCCACCACACGATAATGCTGTTGTTGCGGAGCCTCATGGCGAAAGAGTTATTTTCTATTCGCTGTTTTTGGAATTTCAATTTGCGATGCTCGAATCAGCATGAGATGCTAGATCTGTGATGCGGATTCTTTGCTAGCCATTAAGAAACACGACTGTGCAGCTGCGAGCCCAAAGAATGAACTTGCCGCGCGCGGCGGCAACGAGGTACATGTTGACAACAACAACCCTGGGGCCGCGGCGTGGGCCGCTTTGTTTTATTTGGCCTCAGGATATTGGTGCTGCGGATGCCACCCGCTGGATAAGTGCTGCAGGTTCTGGTTTCCGTTCACGGCTATCGCCTCCTGGCAAGGGTGTGACGTATTTCTCGACTTCATTCTCGCATTCGTCGTACCGTGCTACGCATGCTGCTGCTGGCAGCCGCGCCCCACGCAGAAGATTTGGGGGGCGGGGGCTGGAGCCCCGGTCGTCGGACAACCGCAGGTATACATATTTAAAACGTACGCACGCAAGTGTAATGCCAGTAATAAGCTTTTGCTTTACAAGAACTTGTACTTGAACTACACAAAGTCAAAGCAAGTGTCTACTTGCTCGCGTCGTCGACGTCGTGAAGAATGAAGTAAGAAGAAGAACGTACGAAAGATGAAGCATGAGTTCCGATTTGGCTATAGAAAAAAATGCACATAATCTTGTTGTTGATGTTGTTTCAGGCGGCCGAAACTACTCCGCTGACTGCGGAGGAGTTTACTTGTTCTAACCCGGAGTAATTGGAGGACGAGTACTTGTTCTAACCCGGGCTCGCCGCGGACTGAAGATTTATTAGTAGTTGGAGCACAATACATTGAGTCGGACAGGCTGCGCGGAAATGTGTGAATTACATGCTTGTTTTGCGCCAGTTTCTGTTTTTTTCGACTGAAAATTAGCAACGTAGGCGTAAGTACGACGTCTGGAGTTTCATTTGATGTCGTGTATTTGAATTTGACCCTAAAGATGAAATTATACTTCACCCCCTTGATTAGCTTCAGCAAGACGAAACTCGATAATCGTTTGTGACTTGATATTCCATTTCCTAGTCCCAGAAAAAAACAAAAAGCGCGATGTTGTAACCCATCATCGAACTTTTGACGCCATGCCCAGGCACGGAAAGAAAGGAAGAACCTCCCATCATAAACAATTACAAGAAAAAAAATTCTATTTTCGTCACCAGTTCACGTTTTACTTTTATTCTGCTTGTGCGTGAAGTAGATCCGACCTGATAGCAGGTCCGGGCAGCTGCACGCACAACCCCCCTACTAGAGCAGATCGCGACACGATACTAGATTCTGAATAGATTTAGATACTACTTCGAGGGATCCCCGGGAATAAGTATATCTAAGACCTATCATAGATGACAAGATTCGAATCGTATTAGTAGTGTGAAGACGAAAGAATTTGCATCGCATTTGTTCTTCATCAGTCTGCCACTTCTTGTGCGTATCACAAACGACCTGCACGCGCAAAGTGAGTGAAAAGGCAAATACTTGTTCATAATCCTTGTCTTCGTGCACAAAAATGAAGGGAGCTCCCACCGCCTGCTCCACTGAAGCTTGTAGTTCGAAAGATTTGTAGAGCCCCGCATGGAGGTGGTCGTTATCCTTCGATTCTTTTGCGGCTATCAAAAAACCGAGCGAGGAGGAGAGAACAAAAGCAGGGTAGCCCGGTGCTCGTTTAATATCGTTCTCATGATCTTCATGAAGCTGCATTGAAATTAGAACTAGTTCGTCTCCACCTGCAACTACGTGCCTCGACGCTCGATGCTGTATGCTTCCCCAGCCACCGTGCCTGGATGTTAACGAAAAACAAAGCGTCTACTCGGAAATCGTGGCAAGATGAGGTCGCGCTGGATGCAGTGAATGAAAAGCACAAGAACCAGAAACTGTTTTAAAAAAAGCAATAGAAATACTAGTCCATGGCCCCGAGATCGAGAACTACTACGTCTGCACTCCGTCCTTTTCCATCACACGCCAGGAGTCGTGTTGATGTACATCAATGCACGAAAAGCGCTCCCGGTATTTACTCAACTAGTCTCGTGCACTCCAAAAAAAATCCTACCCTCGTTCTCAAGAAGTGATACGACTTTTCGTATAATACGTTCGAACAAGTACAGCACAGCAAAGAATAAACTAGCTTCGTGAAAATTTTTACATTCGAGTTGTATGTTGTTTGTGGGTCGTCTCCGTCTCGTCGCGTGAACTACAAGAGAGCAGTGCCATTCTTGCCTCGTTCTCGAAAGAAAAAAACAAGCGCCTAGCTGCTCCTTGACTTCTAGTACATCAAGAAATCCGTCGTTTCAAAAAACTATCAACCTCCACAGCCCAGGACGTTTTTTAAACCAAAAAGAAACTACGACTTCTCGCACTCTCTACTCTCCTCGACAAGAAAAAGTACTCGGTCTTTAGGGAGTTGCTGTCCCAAAAGAATTTTAAACTTCTTGTTGGAACTTCTACATCCAACGTCAACGAAGTACGAATCGACAGAAAATGTTGGCTGCTCTCGCGAAGAATCCAGTGGTGGAAGTGATGGCAGGGACCTCGAGTCTGCCGTACGTGTGGGAGGTGATGACCTTTTTGTTCCTGGCCCAGGTAGCCGAGACCGTGGTGCTGCTCTCGGAAGCAACCACTTTGGTGGGAAAGGCCGCCGACCTGCTCCGGATTGCCGTTAGGGCTTTTGGAGGTAATGAAGAAGCATTGCAGTTTTGCATGCGAATTACAATTATTTATGCGAAGATGCGTACAACAAAGTAAAAGTTCTTCCCCTACACGTACAAATTGTTAATCACAAACCCACCCACTTCGAGCATGCCACTTGTTATGCTGAGTGGGGTACTAGCTTGCCGAAAGTATTTTTCAAATGCAGATGAATGCGTTCCGGTTCACGTTGTAATTAGGCACCAAAAAAATTCCAATCCTCTAAAAAAAATGAAAACTATCAGGTGTGCACATTGTGTTGCCGTTCATTCTGGGTTCCTTCCCATCTGTCCTGCTGAACGAGCTCGACCGGTATGCGGGTATCTTCGTGGCCGTGGTTGTCATCTTCGTGTTGCTCGGCAGCTATGTCCCAGACAGGGTCATGAACGCACTCAACTACCCGAAACAGCTGGGCTACGCAATCTTCGTCTCCAACATCTGCGTCAGCGGAACCATGCAAGGTTTTTTTTGGTGTTTTGCTTGGGTGGAGCTAGAAGGAGAAGGACAATAGAATTGAGCGGTCGTTCCGCTGTCATGTTGTTCTGTACGACGTAGTGGACAACAAGTCAAGGGCAACCCACTATATTACGTTTAGCTCTTCAAGAACCAGTCCTTTTGCTATGGCAACGAAATTGCATATGCTAAAACTTCTACACAAACGACAGGTATGGCCGCCTTCCCAGATAGCGAGTGCGCGCCAGTTTTGTTGGGCTTCTTGGCCGTGTGCGGTGGGTACCTGCTGGAGATGGGCGTGACCGCGAAATTATGAAATGCAAAAATGTCTGGGTCTGGAAGGTCGCAGATTTTTGTCATGTTGTTCTTGCATGACACGGAAGGTCTGGCATGGACGCCCTAGCATCACAGGTTTAGAGAAGGTTACGCAATGCCTAATCCGCATGACAACTCCTCTATTCCGATGACAGAGAATGGGTAACTTTTGCTGCCTAAGCATGAGAGATTTCTGCGCGTTGTGAAATGCGCATTACAAGTTCGAATCTTTCCAGACCCAGACATATTTGCAATGCATACAAATTCTTCAAGAAGGACTATTCCTCCGACCAGTTGTTGGCACTCTTCGGCCCGGTCCTCTTCATGCAGCTGACGACGTACTTTATATTTTCTTTATTTTGCTCGTGGTCCTCTAGAAGGAAAGTAGCATAATTTTTGCATTCACTATAGTGCTACTGCTACAACAATTTTAATGAAAGTGGAAATCTGTATTGCACAGCTGGTAAAAGTAAAAGATGTTTTCCCAAAAACAAAACCAGCAACTCTCGTCTCCTGCTCGCCGAGCCGCTCGCGCGCGCGATGGTGTTCGTGTTCCGTCTGTCCTGTGAAGTCATTGACTACAATGAAATCCTGGCGTACGTGAATTACCTGCGCATCAAGGTCCTGCAGAAGGTCGCAACCGCGATCGGCTATCCGTAATTTTGCGGCGGCTCTGCAGTTTGACGGATGTTTACGATATCGGGACGAGGAGTAACACGAAAAGCAGACTCCTATTCGGGCGGAATAGCCAGCGAGTCAACACGACGACCTACGGAGGTAGGAGATGAAAAGGTTTACGAAAAAAAGAAAAACAATTTTGAGATTTTACAGTATTAACAGTATGGCTTTCTATTTGATAGTAGAGATTACAACTAAAGCTAAACACACACACTACGTACGAGAGCAGGTACGTAAATAAACAGCATTTATTTTACGAGATTACAGCAATAGCAAAAACCTACGGTAGGACTTCCTTTAAACTGACTTTAACAAAATTACCTTGAAATTTTATCACGTATGTATGAATTTTAGCAAAGTTACAACAGCACTGCGGCTTGACCCGACGGAGCATGAGCAAGCGCAATCAAGTTTCTTTCTTAACCTTTAAATTGCAACAAAAATCAGCACCAATTTCTCAACCACCTTTTATTGTAATCAGACAAGCAAATTTCCAAGCAAAACCTAGAGTTCTGTATGTTAATGCCGTTCAGAGAAAATGCACAAAGTTTTACCCGCAGAGACCTTTATTTGGCAGTTTCGCACGACGAAAAGAAAAAATGGCGGCTTCTCCGGAAGCTGCATCTACCCTAGAAGACCAAATTCTACCCTAGGAATGCATTGTACACTATTCGCTTGATAAGTAACCCACGGTAAGTAGCCCTACCACGGCGCAGCACTCGAAAATGGGAAATGCAGGACCTGTACGAGCAATATCAGAGCAAACGCAGAACGTAGTGCTGGCAGTGTGTCCGTCTCCGCAGGGTGGAAGTTACTAGAGCAGTAAAATGTTGTTTTTTTCAAAACAATGATGTACGAATGGAGAAATGCGCACCAGCTTGCTTTACGGCAACCGCGTCTAGAAAACTTACGAGACGATACGCCCACGACGACAAGTAGAAGAAACTCACATTTGCTTCGTAGCGGCCCTTGTTTCCCCTGGTTCGAGAAAAAAATACGACTTTGCGTCTGTCACTGCGCCGACGGTTGTGGCGTGACTGATGAGGTGGATGACGGTCTTCATTCGTCGTCGTACCTGCTACTACTGCTTTTTTCTGTTCTGATTTTTCTTAAAGTTGGCCAACTTTACCAGTGGGTTGTCACTGTCAGTGTGATGTCGTCGAGGGGTCGCATTGTGTGTCGACCAAGTGAGCGTGCGTAAGTATTGATTTCGGAAAGCTTGTGTGTGTCGCAATGGCGAAGCAGGGCATGATCTCGAGCAGTCCGAGGGCATTATACCACAAGTAGGAGTGCAGTGACGTCGAGAGGAGACAAGTTGATTAGAGCATTATAACTAAGTGTAGGTTGATAGATTCAACAGACTGACTCTCAACACTCCTTCGCTATCGCTGCGACCCTTCGTAAAATTACCTGGTCGCTGGACCAGCGTCAAGAATTCTCCTCGTAGTTACGTATCGATATACCAGTCGAGGAAAGAACACTCGCAAAGCTCCACGTGCGACGTCCACACACCGCCAACTAGAAAAAAAAATGACCGCCGGTACATCCTCCCAGCATCACCGCAATGCCGCTTCGGAGATGGAGGCGGTGCTCCACTACTCCGCTTTGCACGATGCCTGCAGTTCTTCAAAAGCAACCAGCAGCTCCTCCTCCCGAGGAACCAGGCCCGATAATGGACAGTCGTCCTGCGCCCCGCGGTCACATCTGCACTGCCCGGATTTCAAACAGTACGATTTTTGTCTTTGTTGAATTGTAAACGAGAAGGTTGACTGGGGGGAGGTAAAGAAAAACGCACTAGCACCGTGATTGGGGCAAAACCACTTGTGTAACAAGTGGTGCAGTAGCACCGTGATTCAGCTATTTCATGCGCGCCATTTCAGGTGGTTGCGGGAACGCAACCCCGATGGTTTGCTGGGTTCCCGGGCTGTCGTTTTTGTGCAACGTCAAAATCTTGCCAGAAACCACAAGCGCAACCCTTCCCCCGATGGTACGGGCTCGCTTAAGAGGCCGGCGCCGGATTTGACCGAGTCGGCCACACCGGACGAATCACCGAAATCCGCGGATTTGGGTGTTCTCGGCGTTCGCGTGTTCGCGCGTGCCCTTTTTGACGGCTAATCCGCCTGCTACGGCGCCGCGAACAGAGCGCGAACACAGTGTTCGCGCTCTGTTCGCGCGTACCCTTTTTGGCGGCTAATCCGCCTGCTACGGCCTCCGCGAACAGAGCGCGAACACAGTGTCCGCGCTCTGTTCGCGCGTGCCCGCTTTTGGCGGCTAATCCGCATGCTACGGCCTCCGCGAACAGAGC